TCCAGATACCTACTATAGAGGGTACTAGAGCCCCTAGGGCCCTATATAGTAGATACTTGGAAGGTTAGGGTAACACAAAGTAATGACGGCTCAGGTTTGTGCAGGGACCTTCATGACCCCACGCTAAATCCCGAACCCTAAACCCTAAACCCTAAACCTTAAACCCTAAACCCTAAACCTAAACCCTAAACCCTAAACCCCGAACCCTAAACCCTAACCCTTGAGGCTTCAGTTGCTTTTTGGCGTTCCTTATCGGAACTCCCAGCCAGAGGGTTTAGGGTTTAGGGTTTAGGGGTTTAGGGTTTAGGGTTTAGGGTTTAGGGCCAAGCCAGAGCGGAGCTGAAATTGCGATTCTACGCCTAATAGAAGGGGCCTTAATAGTTAGAGTAGGGTTTGGGGTATAGTCTACTATGATTACAGTAAGGAGCCCCCCAAAAACTCTATTCTAATTAGGAACCCTATTCTAATTCTTAAGGCCCTTACATTATCCCCTCAACCCCAAGCCCTAAGCCCTAAACCCTAAACCCTAAACCCTAAACCTAAGCCCCTAAACCCTAAACCCTAAACCTTAAACCCTAAACCCTAAACCCAGAGCCCTAAACCCTAAATTGTAGAACCCTTTAAAGGAGCCCTTTAAATCTAAGTCTTAAGGCCCCTACATTACTACAATTGCCCAGCCTGAAACATTTGGCCATGCTCCCCGCAGGTTCCAGGGGCATCCTGGTCGGAACGGAACCCAATACCCCTTAATTAAGGACTATACCTGAAATTATAGGGGGCCTTAAGATTATGACTGAATGTATACCGCGTAATCAAGGAATATACCTGAAATTATAGGGGCCTCAATATTATGACTGAAGGTATATTCCTTAATTAAGGGGCCCAATACCCCTCAATTAAGGAATATACCTTTAGTCGTACTATTGAGGCCCCTATAATTTCAGGTCTGTTCCTTAATTAAGGGGTATACCTTCAATCACAATCTTAAGGCCCCGTATAATTTCAGGTATAGTCCTTAATTAAGGGGTATTGGGCTCTCCGGCCGTGCCTACCGGAGCCCTTTAAATCTGATTCTTAAGGCCCCTACATTACCACAACCGCCCAGCCTGAAACATCTGGCCGTGCCTAGCGCAGGTTCCAGGAACATCCTGGTCGGAACGGTGCACTCCTTGCAGGGTTCCGAACGCGACTTCATCCTGATCAGCTTCTGGGCTGCTTAAGGGTTTAGGGTTTAGGGTTTAGGGTTTAGGGTTCAGGGTTTAGGGTTTAGGGTTTAGGGTTTAGGGTTTAGGGTTTATTAACATCAAGGAATGTGATATAGGGGCCTTACTAAGTAGAACAGGTCTTGGGGCATATTAAAACTATAACTGCAATAAGTTAAGGATTGGGTTCTTATAACTTAGTAGCAATCTGAAAGTGTCACCTTCTATTTCCCTGGCTTGTTGGGGAAGATTAAGGAATGTAGTTTAAGTTACCATAACAAGGGAACCATATTACTGGCTATAGACCCCTCTCACGGTAAGTAAAGTTAAGTTCCTTAACCCTTAGACTCTTACAGAACCCTTAAGGAAAAACCCCTAAATTATGGTAACTTAAGTTAAGCTCCTTAACAAGAGCACAGGCTTCGTGCGCAGCGTCGCCGACGATGTACAGGACGTTGCAAAGCCTGTCCAGGCCTGACTGGCGCTCGGAAAAAATGAGGTCTGAACAGTTAGAATAGACGTCGGGGAAATGCCGTGATATAGTTATATGGGGACTACCACGGAGCTATTGTTGCTAATTCTAGCGACCTCTGTATTGCATTTTGTTTTTTTGGGGGGTTGGTTCCGTCAATGGCTCGAAGGACCCTCGGCCCTGAACATGAGGCCTCCCGGCCGCCGAAGAGAGATGGGCAGGGGTTCCCTGAGGCATACCTACCCAGAGACTCCAATACCCCTTAATCAGGGAATATACCTTAAATCATATTAGGGATCCCACTATAGTTTAAGGTATATTCCTTAATCAAGGGATATTGGAGTCTCTGGGTAAGCTTGTAACAAGCAGCCTAAACTCAACGCAAGCTATGGAGATCCTAAGTCCGAAAACCCTAGACCTGAGCGCTGAAAGGCACCCAGAGCGCAGCAACGTAGTGGCCTGAAGCAGGACCAACACTATTACTTAGGGCTCCGTGCTAAAATTCTACTGCGACCAATTAGCAACACTGTTCCTTATGTTTCCTGATTATAGCTGTAGAGTAATCTATCCCCGATCCTAAACGCTAAACCCTACAAACCCAGAAACCCCTTCCAGTATAGCCCAATTACGGAATACTCTTCAAATCAGATCAGGACTGCTATCGAAGTCTAGCACATCTTCAGGTGGGTAGCTACCGTTATAGTAGCCTTGTAGAAGGTCCATATACCTTGTAGAAGCCCTATATACCCTAAACTCCCCCCCTGTAGTTTCCTTTGACAAAGTTTAAGACTAATTCAGGGCAATTGGCCGATCTGGGTCCGCCAGAAGCAGGAAAGCTGTAAGGTGCCGAAGCAGGAAAGCCCCCAAGTCCCAAACTTTGAAACACTTCGCTGAAGATCTGAAGGGGTAGATACTCTAATCCCTATGCCACTACACCTTATGCCAGAATTAGGGCCTTTAGGGTTTAGGGTTAGGGTTTCGGGATATCATTATAGTATACAACATCCAAAACCCCTGTTCTACTTGATTTTCTGACAGTCGAATTTCGATCCTCACCACTGCAGAGGCAACCTCCTTGGGTGACTCGCTGGCCCTTCAGGAGACGGGGCACTTCGAGGATCAGGGGACTGCATCTTAATTGGGGTTAGAGGTAGTAATAGCTATGATTACTTTGAAAGAACGAATGAAAGAACGAATGAAAGAAGGAAAGAAAGAGCTAAGGAAGGAAATCACAGCTGCGAGCCAGCCTGCCAGCCTGCCGCCAGCAAGGAACCAAGCACGCAGCAAGCAAGAGACCTAACAACAGTGATGACGAACGCTTGAAATCAATCACAAAAGAAGTCACGACACATGTAACGAATAAGCAATGCCAAAACATTCCCAAAGAACGAAGAAGTAACGCGCCAACGACAAGCAGCAGAACATAGGCAACGAAGGAAAGAAGCAACGAACGACGTCGTCAGGGCAACTGATGTGCGATGTCGTTGCTCCTCCATGACTTCGTTGGATCCCGAATCTAGCCTGACCGTTCCAGAAGAACTTGAATACATGAAGAAGCCCAAGCCCTGATGATAAGCCATGCTTACCGTAAACCCTAAACCCCAAACCCGAAACCCTAAACCTACTGAGCGATATTTACTGTTAGCCTGAGGGTTGATTTGGGCTAACCTCGAGCCAAGATTTGGGGCTCCGGGTTGTCGGGGTTGAGTGTAGATGATATCTAAAGATGTTCTTCTTCAATCCTAGAACAGCCACGTGCTAAAATACACATTCTATCTACGCATATTCTTGTTCAAATAGTCAAGGTCAAAGCTAAATAAAAAAATATGGCCGAAGATAGTCTAACCCAATCCTAAAATGAACAAATCCAGTCTGAAGCTTGGCGATGGCGCAGGGCAGCTTGTAGGGATTTCAAGGTTCGTAGTCGTTGGTAGAGTTTTACGGTCCCGTGGAATGCTTTCGAACGAACCTATGGTTGTTTGTACACAAACCATGAAGTCTCATACATGAAGGTTGGGCTTGAATCTAGGCTTCCACTCTAGCCAGACACTTCTCATGCTTCGGATGGTTCTGTCGCTCCTCGCTTTCCATCCACGGCTGCTTGTTTTGGGTTCGAGGTTAACTCCTCCAAATTCTGCTTGCATGATGTTTCCTTCAAAACTGAGAGGGTCGCGATGGCTCGTTCGAGCATTCAGATGCACCTCTGTCATTAGTCGGGTGTCAGCAAGGTCCGTATAGCATAACGTTGATCACGTCGTGGCATCTGGGTTGAAAAAACCATGCAGGAGCTCACTCGTGCAGAAGGGCTCATAACCCGACCCCGAAGCCCAAGCACTGAGTTCCAAACCGTCGAAGGACGCACTCTGGATTCTAGCTGCCCTCATTCCCGAAGCGCTAGGCCTGACACGCCGAACCTTAAAGTCTAGATGCGAGATTCGGAAATGCGAACCCTAAACCCTAAATCCTGAACCCTGAACTCTTAACCCTAAAACCTAAACCCCAAACCCTAAAACCTGAACCCTAAACCCGAAACCCTAAACCCTAAACCCTAAACCCTAAACCCTGAAACCCCAAAACCCAAAGCCGTAACGTCCGGCTGTTGCCTCTAAGCAGGAGATGCGGAAGACGAGCCTGGGCATCCTCTCGGACAGCAGCTCGGAAAGAGTGGGGATACCGTAGGAAGGGGCTTTGGGTTTAGGGTTTAGGGTTTGAGGTTTAGGGTTTAAGGTTAGGGTTTAGGGTTTAGGGTTCAGGGTTGAAGGTTTAGGGGATAATGTAGGGGCCGTAAGACTTATAATTCTTTAAAGGGCTCCTTTAAAGGGTTCTATAAGGGGAAGTGTTTAGGGGCTTAGGGTTTAGGGTCTAGGGTTTGAGGTTTAGGGTTTAGGGTTTAAAGTTTAGGGTTTAGAGGCTGACGGTTTAGGGTTGAGGGTTTAGGGTTTGAGGTTAGGGTTTAGGGTTTAAGGTTTAGGGCTTGGGGTTTAGGGTTTAGGGGATAATGTAGGGGCCTCAAGAATTTTCAATAGGGTTCCTTTAAAGGGCTCCGTAAAAGGAGTTCTATAAGGCATCTACAATAGGGTTTTAATGTAGGGGCCTTAATAACTAGAAAGGGTTTTGGGTTATACTAAACTCCAATTATAGTAAGGAACCCCAAGTAGTATAGGCAATTGTTTAGGCCCCTACATTAATGTATGAAGGGTATTTAGGGTTATGGGTTTTGGGTTTAGGGTTTAAGGTTTAGGGTTTAGGGTTTAGGGCTTAGGCGGAGACCCCTTAAAGGGGACCCTTCTTAACCCTACGTCTGGCTCTTTCAAAATGGCATACTAGGCTAATTCTCGTGTATCCTCCCGCCGGCGCGTCCCATGTCCCGCGGTATACCCTAAAACGGACCCTATTGAGAGGGTTTATATCCCCAAGAATCCCCCTAATCCTATCTCCCAAATGTAGGAACTTTTTTTCAGAAACCCTGGCCCTATAACCACCAATATTAGGATCAATATAAAGAATTAAACAGCTGATATAGGGTTCCTTTAGGGTTTAGGGTTTAGGGGTTTTGAACGTGTTTGATTTCCATTGCGTGCAGAGTTCTTCCGTGAAGCTTGTTGTCGGACAGGGTGCAGTCGTCCCCCAATATACAGGCCTTAATAATAACCATAGGGTTTTGGGGTATATTTTACTATAATTAGAATAAAAAAAAACCCCAAAACCCTATTCCAATTATGTAGGCTCCTACTGTAGGACCCTATTATAGATCCCTTATAGAACCCTTTACGGCTCCCTTTGAAGGGACCCTGCTCTTATTATGAGGGCCCCTACAGTACGCAGCAGAAGATCTGCGGTGTTGGGTTTCGAGTTTGGACAGGTCGGTTTAGGGTTTAGGGTTTAGGGTTTAGGGTTGAGGGTTTAGGGTTTAGGGGGCCCTGTGTCTGCAGCGATCCTTTCGACGCACTCCTAAATCCACCAACCCCTAGTGCAGTGAATACGGGGGCCTAAACAATTACCTATAGTATTTTGGGGGTTCCTTATGGTAATCATAGTATAAAATACCTCAAAACCCTATTCTATCCACCAACCCCTGTGGCTGATGATCTAAATCCTGCATTACCCATAATAAGGAATGCTTAGGGGTCCTTAAGGTAATGCAGGATTTCTATCATCAACAGTAGTGCAGTTATTATCAAGTCTGTTCTTCTGATTGTGGTTCTTACTATGATTCCTGTTACCAGGATACAGCTTTGGACCCTATGAGAGCCTCTAAACCAAGAAGTATTGAGCTGCAGAATACGTGAGCCTGCTCTGGATATCAGGGCCGATCCCCCGGCCGAAGTTTTTTGGGGTGGTGATCACAGAGAACCCAATACCCCTTCATTAAGGAACATACCTTAAATTATAAATTATATTATCAAGGCCTCTAGAATTCCTTAACTAAGCGGTATTGGGCTCTGTGGGATTGGCGAATGAATAGAAAGCTGGCCCCAAGTCTGAAAGTCTTCAATAATCCCTAAACCGCCCTGGACAACTAATGAAGGGACCTGAAAAGTTCGTGATCGTATGTCTCTGTATACTAGTTGTAGTACGGTTTAGGGTTTAGGGTTTAGGGTTTAGGGTAGTACAACATTCTCCCAAACCCCGTTGTACTTATTAAGGGCCCCGATACTATCAACGTCATAAGACCCTTGTAGACCCCTTCTGAAGCCCTTCCAGAGACCTTTCAAGGAGTCCCTAAACCCTAAATCCTAAACCCTAAATCCCTAAACCCTAAATCCTCACTGTTGAAGCCCTGAACGAAGCCAGAAGCCCTTAAACCCTAAACCCTACACCTGAAACTATGCACCCGAAGCTCTAAAGGCAATATTGAGCCCGAAGCCCGAAACCGCGAAAGGCCTCGACCCGCCTTCCACCCCGAGCTTTAGACTGCGGATGTAGGGCGGGTTTAGGGCTGGGGCTTTAAGCTTAGGGTTCAAGGTTTAGGGTTCCGGATTTAGGGTTTAGCATCTAGGAAAGGACTTTCTTTTTGGCTTTGAGTAGGGTAGATCTGTCCCGTTGCAGGCAAGCTGCTCAATGTGGCCCTGACCCGTGCGAAGTACGGCCTCGTCTGCATTGGCAATGCCGAGATCCTCAGCAATGGATCAAAGGACATGCTGCTTTAGTGATTTGCAGCGTGGGGTGAGACGCAGATCCTTCAGTTCCTAGCCTCCGGGAGGGTTGCTGGGTGAATTGGTGGTGGCTATTAAACCCTAAACGGGGCATGGACTTCAAACAGGAAGTTCAACTCCTCATCAACTAGGAAACCCAGCGAACTGCTTCCAGGACTTCCACGACCTGATCCAAGACCTGAAGAGACGCAGATGCCTCATCAGCAGAGAGGCCTGTCAGCGTCAACTTTTCGGCATGCGAGCCATCCTATTTCGCACGCTGGCAGATGCCGTTGTAGTGCAAGGTGTGTAGTATAGGGGCCTAAATAATTACTTATACCATCATCAGGGTTCCTCATTGTAATTATAGTATAATGGGCCCCAAAACCCTATTCTAATTATTATGGCCCCTGCATTACCCATACCGTCTCTAAACGGCAGCACTCCTACGAACGAGGCGAGTTGAAGCTTACGGTGCAAAACTCGCCCTGCAGATCCACTCTTGAAGTTACCCAGAGAACCCAATACCCCCT